TGACCGAGTCCGATCGGTAGAGAATGAGTAGAAGTCACGAAGAGTGGGTTGGTGCTTTGTGATCTCACCCAACCGTGCCTCGGTAAAGATGAGGCTTGTGACATGCAAGTGAGGAAGAATGAGCAAACTGAGAAAGAATAAAGAGAGACAATGAGTAGGTTACGAAGAGTGGGATGAGTACCCAACTGTGCCTCCGGTAAGATGAGGCCGTAACCTACAACAAGAAAGTAACAAAAAAAGAGTTATGAGAAAGAGAGACAGAAAAAGAATCACGTAGAAGTCACGTAGAGTGGAGAAGTCCGGCCGGCCTTGGTAAGATGGGGCCATGAATTCAAGAGCGAGTTAGTAGAAATGAATTATGAGAAATGAGAAGAGATAATAGAGAGAATCAAAGAATGAGAAAGCTTGAGAAAGCCTGAGAAAGAATGAGATAGAAAGAGAGAGAGTCTAAGAAAAGAATGAGAGAGTTTGACCCTAGTAAGAATAGAGACTAGAAGAAAGAAACATATACAGTTCGTTTGCATTAGTTGCATGAACATCTCATACATGCATGCACCATGATCTTCTTGCTAGTGAGAGTGTGACGAGAATAAGAGAGAGAACCATGATTTTCCTTTTGTGGAGTATGACGAGAACAAGAAGAGAGAACCATGATTTCTTCATGGTGAGTAGAGTAAGAAAAGAGAAGGAGAAAAAGAGGAATAAGAACAAAGAGAAAGAAAGAATAAAAAGAGTAGAACAGAGGTTAAATGAGGATAAAGTATTAGAAAGAAAGAGAAAAACATGAGAATTAGAAAATAAGAACGGTAGAGTAAGGAAAGAACAAAAGAGTGAGTTGCGGGGACAGTAGTAGAAGATTTACTTACTGAGCATTGTTATTGCTAACCCGTTGTTCTTCTCTGTTTTGCAGGAATAGGAGCAGCGGTCAGATGGATGTCAAGGAGCAGAGAGTAATTGGCACCACTTTCCACCAGCTATGATATTTTGATTAATTAGAAAGTTTTTAAACATAGTATTTTGTATTTGTAAAGAATTATGTTTTATGAGTAAAGAAAAATTTGAGCCACTATCTTTATACGCGATGTATATCTATAATTACAAGTTATTATTACAGAATAGTAGTAGAGAGCAGGTGTTACAGTTTTCCAGTCCACAAAGATGGTTTTTCTAAATGGGCAGTGGACCGTTTCTTGGGCTAAAAAAAGGCACACTTGAAAGGCTCATATAGTAAATGACCCTATCAACTGTCTCTATGATGCTCATAATAAACGTTACGTTGGTTGTTTGTATATTTGAAGGACGAGAATGAGGAATCATGGTGTTGGTCTTAGAGCATTGCTTTGTGAAACAAGGACACTAATATTTATGTTAAATACAGAATCTGTGTCATAAATGAATTAGCAATTCAACATCCTTAAGCCAATATTAGGTACTGTGTTACGTACCACGCACTTGAATTCAAAAAACTTGTTATGCGGTGATGCTAGAACCACGAACGAGTACAATTATAAGGCCACAATAGGTGGCATAAGGACAACAACATCGAGGCATACAATTACTTATGAAAAAGTATCTACTAAACACTAGAGTAGGCATATGTTTTCGATTGAAAATACAAAAGTGACCATATCACCAACAATCTGAGTTAGTCCTAGAATGTTGCACTAGATTACTATGAGAACTTTAACCATTACAAAAACTCCTTAATTTCATTAGTTTATAAGTGATGAATAAACTTATATTAGGATAGAGAAAAACTAGAACTTGGAAAAGGAAGTTAACACTAGTTGTAAACGCAAGCTTGTTACCATGCTAAATAAGATAGTAATTGGAAGCAGTGGATTAGAAACCTGACTCATGCAGTGACCCAACCAAGCCATCGGGTCCCAGATCAAGCAGTTTGACCCGTGGTTCAAACCGGTTGTCAAAGGTTTGAAATCTAACAAAAATATCCTAATAATTACATTTAAGTCCATATGTTTGAAAATCTTGCAAAAAACAACCAAAATACCACGTCGGCATATGCAAATATGGCGCTTTCGAAAACAACAAAAATCCCCCATGACGACGAAAAACTGGCTCATCATCCTGACCAAAAACCCATTCACCCCTCCCCCGTTCGCCTCCCCAATCGCAACCACATTGTTTTGCAATCTTCGATATTCACTCACCGAAAATAGATGTCGTTGCCACCATTCTACTCACCGACCATTCCTCTTCAAAAGCCTAACATTCCACCCTTCAATTTTCACGAATGATGTACAAATTTCCAAAGGTTTTGAATGAATAGGAAAATTTGTAACTGATCGGGTTATAAGGCTCCAAGTCACGGTTCAACGACGGGGCCGGGCTAGGTTCCTAATCACTGATTGCAAGGCATATAGTTGGTTTAAAAAAGCGGTTAATTAAGAAATTTCTCTATGAGCGGTGTTGTTATTGCCAAATCACCTAACAGTGTAGTCTAACGAGTTGAAAATTATAATATTAACAAATAATCAAGTAAAATAAGGAATACTAAAAATAGTTTTTATGTAAATTTTTTAGAATATTTATCAGTGTGTAAATTATATTAGTTAAATACAATACTTTAAAAATAGATTTTTTAAAATCATTTAAAATTAAAAATTAAACAACTAAAAATATCTTAAATATACGATAAATATATATAAAACAAAAAAAAAGTTAAGAAAAAACAATGTGAATATTAAGGGGGCATTGGTAGGGAATGTGGGATACTGGGTTAGTCATCTATATTACTTGATTACCACGTTGGTTGTCAAGTAATATAAGATTCTGATAATCTTCAAATACCAATAGTAGTTACCGTTGGTAATATGGAGCAATCTGATTACTCCATTTTCTTAGGTATTGTAAGAACAAGGGTATCTTTTTTTGTTATAATTCGATCCTATTAATAAAATTTTAGGAATAATGCCCTATTTTAAATTTATTTACATGAATGTTTCTTTAACTATTCACCCCAAAATTAACTTTTTGGACAAAATTATCCTTGAAATCAAAACAAATTGCAAACCAACCCAAGCCACCACCCCCACCCCACACCTGCCGCTGGCAACCATTGCCGCCGAAAGGCGCACGGAAGGCCAAAAATGGTCGTCATGCACTAATAGCCAAATCATGGTAGATGTGGCCGTTGACGGCCAAATTGATGGTTGTAACAAACCACGTCTGTAGCCATTAACAGCTACGTCTATAGCCATTAACGGCTATGAAGTTAGCTATTGATGGCTAGATCGACGGATCTAACCATCCCCGGCCAAATCTGTCACAATCTGGGCATTTCTAGCAAAATCTGTCATGATCTAGACATTTCTAGCCAAATCTCTAGCCGGAAATGGCCATACTGCGCACGAAGGTACTCATGCGAACTCATGGTACTAATGGCCAAATCTCTAGCTAGCCGATGGTACTCATGGTGCTTCCCATTTGCCTATAGCCCCTTGGGCATGGGTTCGAGCCATGGGGGAGGCGAAGAAATCCCTTAGGGGGGGGGGGGGGACAATACTGAGTAGAATCATACTCGGGTAGGGGCCTAGGCCGCCAGGCAAGCCGGCAAAAGGCTGGGTGTGCCAGTAGCATGCATGATGTTTGATGAAATGTCTAAGAGAAGTGTATGCATGAGTAAAGAAAACTTATTTTTGTCGACATGGCATTTTTGCATACATGTTGCACGTAGAAAGAATTAAAAGCATGAGCCATCCACATACAACTAAATTGCACACACTGTCTCAGTGAAGAAATTTAATGTGGATTTATATATGTGAGAGATAATCTGTGTAATAGTATGTTATAACTGGATTAAGGACAAAAAATTTAGACGAACACCCTTTTTAAACTAGCAATTCTCTAGATTCTCTCTATAGGATACTCAGTGACTACTTGCCTAGTAAGACATTACTTCTTATTAGACAACTAATAGATATTTACTCAAAATTCACACTAGTAATCACTCGGAAACGTTGAGAATGTTAGAACGGTACAACAGTTAAAGTTGATGGTATCATTTAACGAACCTTGTAGTTGATGTAGAAAGGTTTTATTACTTAGATTGTAGAAAAATTCCTGAGCTATGAAAATTATTAGTGTAACATCATATATTTTTTCATTAAATAAGAAGCAAGAAATTCGAAAAAGTAAGACCAGAATACTTCTGGTAAAAAAACAATTTCAGTAAAACATTTAATGTTTTGTCAATCTTTATTACAATTTATTTATTGATTATTCAAAAAAGCTTAGACTTCCATATAAATCCTTCACTATTATATATAAACTGAAAGAAAAAAAAAAAAAAAAACATTCTCGACTCACCTTAACTCTTTTGTCTAGTCAGTTCTTTGTCTCCTTTTGAGTCATTTGGGAACTAGGATACAAGGAGAAGATTCAAAATCCTAGAAGAACATGAACGATTTCCTATGAATAAGAATCACCAATGTGTACATTTGATACGTATTCTTATATTTACTTCCTCCTTTGTTATCCAAAAAGAAACTTATATTTGTTACTGCCATATCTTTAACTTTCTATTTCCTAAACCATGGTACTATATTAGCCAAAAACACCTCATTCTTTTATGTTCAAACACTTAAAAAATTTGTAGTGTACTCTATTCACATGCCAGAAAAAAGAAAAAGAAAAACATATAGAGTTGCCAAGCATTACATGCAGTAAACCCTTAAAATAAATTCAAGCACCAAGAAAGATTCCTATATGTTGGGTGTACCTATTAGGTCATAGTCAATGTAACATGGAATTAAATTTGTCAAGCAAAGAACCACTATAACGACAAGGAAAATGAATATATACATGTTCGTACTAGCCAAGGAATCGTACAACATTTCTTTTATAGGCATTCTCTAGAAAGTCTCAAATGCTAGGAACCCACCTTAAGCATCCTCACCATTTGTTCCAAGAAGAAAAAACGAAGCAAACCTTTATCAGTAGTTGTGTGATATCCTTCATTGGGCATATGTACTCCTCTATCAAATTTTCAACATAAACACCAGATTTGACATCTTCTCTTATCTGGAAGGAGAAGCAAAATAGGGTCAAGGAAAACTGAATTTATGTAGGCCTTTTACTGGATGTGAGTGCTTTTGTTACCTGAAGATTTCTTTGGCTTGGATCCAACAAATCTGTGATTTGTTCATTGTAAATCTGTAATAATATGTGGATATATTAGGACATGCAACATTAAATTTCACAAGAGCAAAAGGGATATTGTCCAGTCACAAAAACCTAAAGAAAAGAACAAAGACATTTCTCTCTCTCTTCTAATACAAAACAAAAGAAAGAAACTCAACAATTTCTCGCTTTTCCACTCAGTAAAAAAATAAAAGCTTTAAAATTTACATTTTCTCAAGCTTGAGTCACTTTTTCCCCAAATTCTGTCAAAATACAAAAAAGATAATATCAAATCATCACTGAAAAGAAGAAGATGGAAACAATTACTTGAACACCCCACAACCATTATGTTCTCGAGAAGTGTATGGGTGGCGAGCTTGCGCTTGAGTGGGTTGGGCAGGCATGGGGGAAGCGGACTCTTAATCTTGGAAGATGCCGAAAAAGGCGGAAGAATTGAGTTCGTCTTTTTGCTTCTGCAATGACTTTAATTTTGAATTAGGGTTTGGAGATGGCGACTCACTTGAATGGGTCTCTCTGAAAATTGTTTTTCTTGGTTACATGAAGTGGTTGATTCCGATCAGTAAACTACAGAGAGAGAAGAGAGAAGAGAGAAGAGAGAAGAGAGAGTAGGGTTTGTTAATTTGGGCAAATTGCTGAGATTGAGGGCATTGGAGACAAGAAGAGGAGAGGAGAAAGAAATGTAGCCGTTAAGAGTAGAGAGGGGTAAACTTTTGAATTTTGTTGAATTATTCACATTGTGGGGAATTTATACCCAGCAAGTGGAGAATATTTTGCTGCCCGGCCATCCCAAGTTTCGATTTAAGAAAATGGTCTTGAAAATGTTTTTCATTTTTTTTTTTTAATTTAGAGAAGATGACGTGACATAGTTAGGATTAATTAAACACGTAAAATGGGTTAAAATGAAAAGATTAAAACATATGTGGGCCGAATTAAATAATGAAAGTTTTTTAAAATTTGAAATTTACAAAACAAGCCCCACCTATTCACCTCGCTTAATCAAAATTCATTAGGGCAAAAAGCGATTTCTTGAACCAAAGGGAGACACTGCGATTTCCGATCGAACCTGCAAATTTCCACACCATAGTTAATCCTAAAATCAATTTCTTGAATGCTAAACGGAATACAGTCGCGATTTTCATCGATAAGTCGTGATTTTCGATCGATTCCTTGAACCCTAAAATTGATTTCTTGAACCATAAACGAAATATGTGAGATTTCCGGTGATACAGCCCACATTTCCGATCGAAAATGCAAATTTTGACACCAAATTCAATCCAAAACCGTGGCTGACACTCACAATGAGGAGAAAAACCCAATGCCACTTCGAATCCTAGATTCCGGTGGCACAAGCAGTTCAATGGCTGCTCCGGTGGATCATCCGATCAGTGAAGGTGGTCCACAGGCAGAGGAGACGACGGCGGCATAACAAGAGAGAAAAGAATCACAAAACAGTTCTGACGAGGACGAGGACGAGTCAAGCGAGAATGTAGGCGAGGAAGAGGAGTCCGGCGAGAATTCAGGCCAGGAGGAGTCCGGCGAGAATTCAGGCTAGGAGGAGTCTTCCAAGGATTCAGGCGATGAGGAAGAGGCCAGCGAGAATGCAAGCTATAAGGAGGCTAGCGAAGAAAGGGTACGTATTTGTTTTGGCAGTATTGCTCTTTATTGTCGCTTAAGCGACCATTTGTATCGCTTAAGCGATTAATCTCTTTTACTCATGGTCGCTTAAGTGATACAAAGGATCGCTTAAGTGATCTTAGATCTGGGTAGAATCATCTGTCCAGATCTAAGATCGCTTAAGCGATCCTTTGTATCGCTTAAGCGATTGATTCAGTTTCCTCTTAGTAGCTTAAGCGATTTCAGATCACTTAAGTGATCTTGTCTGAGGCAGAATCATCTTAGATATAAGATCGCTTAAGCGATCTTTTGTTTTGCTTAAGAGATTCTTTTAGTTCGCCTAAGCGATTTTAGATTGCTTAAGATATCTTGCACGAGGCAAAGTCAAGATCTCTTAAGCGATCCGAAATCGCTTAAGCGACCACAGAGGTAATTTTTTGTTGCTGATATTTTGTTTATTAGTTGTTTTGGTTTATTTTGGTTGCTGACATTTTGTTTATATCGATTGTGCAGATTGTGCAGACCGTTAACTATAGAGACTACAAGTAGGAGCTTGTAAGCAATAAAGTACCCTACTTCCCTGCAAGGGTGACAATCAGGTCGAGTTGGGATGTTTTTGACAGAATAAAGGAGATTTTAGCTGGAATGAGGCATGGTGCAAGAGATTTCGAAGACACTTGTTTCGGTCGGTTTTTAAGAATCGAAACAAATTGGAAAAAGGCGTTTTGGGGGCAGGGAGTGCATTACATATTGCTGCAATCAGTAAAATGCAATAAAAAAAAAAATGTGGTTCGTGGTGGACGGAAAGCCACTACGTTTTGGGATGATGGAATATGCATTGGTGACGGGCTTACGATGTGGGGAAGTGCCAGATAAGGCAGAGGCAGACGTAATAAAGAAGAGTCCGGGAGCCATAAGGTTTCGTAAGAAGGTTTTACAGGGGGCAAAGTCTATTACAGGACGGGTTTTAGAGAAGAGGCTACAAATAGTTCGGTTTAATGAGGGAGAGAAGATAAAAGTGTGCTTGGTATTGTTTTTACATTCGATCTTATTGGCTGGTGACTCAACAAAAGCTATTGAGAAAGATTGGTTGTTGTTTGCAAGCAACTTGGAGTTCTTTAATTCTTATCCGTGGGCACGGATATCATTTGAGTGGACCATCAACATCAGGAAAAAACGAGACATGGCGTTAAAGTAGTCCCAATGGGTCGGGAAGGATAAACCAAGCACGTACAATTTGTTTGGCTTCCCATGGGCAATGCAGGTAAATATTAATAGTTTTTTGTTATATTTTTTGTAATATATGTGTTTGAATTATGATATGGACTATTTTTTTACAATGTAGGCTTGGATGTATGAGGTCATCCTTGTTTCACTAAGGCGGCGGTGAGAAGGGGGGGGGGGGGGGAGCAACAGTTTGGATGTGCAATAGCAATTTTCTAGGATGTTGCGGTGGCATGTGGAAAGGTGTATCCATTGGGATCACGACCAAATAAACATGGAGATTGAAGCGGCTAGGGTAAGATTAAAGGATCAAGCTTTTGAATATGCAGTTGCTTTAAAATGTCGTTTCAATATGATTGATTTTGTTTCTTATTGTAGGGAGTTGTCCGTCCTTTTCTCATTGCTACTGGGGATGAAGCGGAAGAGGATTATGTCATATCTTTCAAAGCACTGGAGGATGAAAGGGATGAACGGATAGACCGCCTGATGCGGGATCGGTCACGCATGCGACAGTAGTTACAGGGTCACTGCTTGACAACGTGGTTGATGTTGAGGATGATGAAGCTCTAATCGGCAGGAGGCCCGAGAAGGAGGAGGAGGAGAAGAGGGAGGAAGAGGTTCGTATGCCTTAACAAACCGGTACAACAAGTACCGCTTTGCCGAGACATCGGCCTCTAGAGAATGAGGTGGTTGACCTCATAAACGGCTTGTTTGAGAGTTTTACAATAGGCATTTATGACAGGTTTGACAAGATGGAAGAGCGCATGAAAAGGGTGGAGGAGAAAGTGGATAAGCTGGCAGAGAAATTTGGTACAGTTGAGGAGGAAGTTGGTGGAAAATTAAAGGCGGTTCAAGTGCAAACTGGGCTGAAAAAAGAGAGCCGAAAGAGCAAGTTTGTCAAATCGCCTTACATGGCAGTGACACGGTAAAGAAGAGGAAAATTAAGAAACGAATGGAGGAAGAACCAGAAATGGAGATGGTTAAGGAGGTTGGTGGAGGAAATAGGGCAGTGATAATGGAGGAGGGCGAGGTGGAAGGCGAAGGAAGCGGGGGTGTAAAAATGGAGGAAGGGGGAGGAAGTGGGCAAGCGAAAATGGACTCAAATGTCGATTTGTATAGGCTAATAGAGGAAAAGAAAAAACTCGTCTATGCCTATTACAATGAACCAGGAAGTAATGGCCATATAAAGTGTAAGACAGAGGATTGTCCCTGAGAATGGTTTGAAAAGTTGTTGACGATGGGCATGTGGCTTGAGGACTCGGTGAGTTATTTTCTCTTAATTTTCCTTATTTTTGCCTATGTTTTCCATACTTATCTTGTTGTTTTTATTTGATGCAGCACATCGATAAGATATTGGCACTGATAAGGCTACAACAGACTAGTGATGGTGATCTATTGTATCCCAACTGTGCCATCACCGATGTAGCGTTTGGCCAAATGCTTGTTTTGACATATCGCACTTTAATTAAAAATGTCGTTGCTAGAGGTGCAGCAAAAGGAGCAGCGAAGCGAAAAAGATTGGCCCCAGAACAGTTGGACCGCATCCCTGATGATTTTAAGTTTGATAACAAGATTATGCAGCATGTACAGGGGGAAAAGCCCAAATATGGCCACGATTGGGCCATTGTTAAAATAGTATACTACATCATCCTCGTCAAACAAATGCACTGGATAGCAGTCGTCATGCATCTAGAGGAGGAGTTGTTGAAGATCCTTGACTGCAACCTAACTATTTGTCGAGACAAGCAGTTGGAGGTCCAGTTGGAGCCAATGTCCAGGTTGTTCCCACGGCTATTGCGTGATAGCGAGATGTTTGGGCACTTGGGTGATCAAGTACTAATCGAAAAGTGGCCACTTAAGCGCTCTACCGTCCCAATAAATGAGTCAAGGTAAATTTTGTATAAAACTAACTTACATAATACAATTGTTCTATAAGTTTATTCTAATGCTAATGTCTTCTTCCTATTGTAGTGCTGAATGTGGGGCATATGCCCTTAAATTTATTTAGTTCGACATGACCAACACCCCGATGGACTGCTTGAATTACGAAACAATGAGAGACTGTCGGGAGCGCTGGGCTGTCCACTGCTTCCATGGGCAGATGGATCCGTTTTGAGTGACCAGAACCCAATCAAAAGGTATGAAAGTTGGACTTTGAATTTTGTAGTTTATGTGATCTTGATGTTGGTACTTGGGTTGTGGTGCTGATGCTGCAGGTGTCATGCTTATATGGAGCTTTACCGAAAGAGACGGACTGAGTGAACTTCTTACCTACCCACTTTGTAACTTTTTTACGTGTTTTTTTAATTTACAAAAGTTGACGTGTTTGCAGGTGTGTGTCAGATAATTTTGTAGGTTCCTGGCAAACAATGAGAGGAAACTTCTCAAAGGCTAGTTGGCAAGAGGAGGCATCTGCAATAAAGGCTGCTGGGAAGGCATGGTACCAAACAATGATCTCAGACAAGTTACTGGCAAATAGAATTTGAAA